AACTCATTTTTCGCTGTAAAGAAATTATTTAACCGCGAAGTAAGGTTTTTGTTAAACAAATCAGCTGATTCAAAGTTCATCGATTGGTTTGCAAAATTTAACGAAACGTAGAGTTTGTAAATCTCGACAAAAATGTTAGCAATAACTTTAGCAATACTTAACACTACGAGGATTTTAACACGCGTCCGTCTGTTGCAAAAAAAAAAAAATCTGCTCTTAGATATTATACGATGATTAACCCTGAATCAGAGCCTTTGTACGTTTTGTAGGTTGCCTTAAAATGTTTCCTTAATGTTAAAAGATCCAATAATGTCAAGATAACCTTGGAGAGAACATATTTCTAGCAGGAAATCATTAAAAAATCTCTTTTCTTCTCTTTTAACGAAATATTTCCTCCCACTCAGATTATCTCAAATACGAGATTAGGATAGTTCGTAGCCGGGGGCGCTATTTTGAGCCGACAAAGCCCTGCAAATGTAGAATTCATAATATCAAAACAATGATAAGCAATTGGTTGTCAATAGAGACAGAAATTTGGCCATTATTCCAACTAAGAATTATAAAAAGAAATTCAATGCTGTTTGTACATACACACACGCGCACGTACACACGCGTGTGCGAGCACACACACACACATATATATATATATACATGTGTGTGTGTGTGTATGTGTGTGTGTGTTGCAGCCTAAGGAGTTACATCGCTGAAATAAAACAAAGAGACTTGTTTCCAGAATAAAACGAATGGCGTTTCTTATAAAAAAAAAAAAAGACAAAAACCTCTTCTATTTATTCTTTCGCCTGATATGTATTCTCTAATATTCGTACTCACACTTCGGGTGTATTCTAAAAAAATAACGAATTTTTATTGATCCGGCAGATTTTTGTCACTTTAAAACATTATTGGATACTCGTATTCGAGTAGACGCCCTGCTTATTTATTAAATGGTATATTTATTTATTTTCGTCTACCGGCCTGGATGTCGAAGAAATGTTTTTTAGAGAAAATCTCGAATATCCAAGCCGGTAGACGTGAATAAATAAATATACTGTTTAATAATTATACGGAACATCTACTCATATACAAGTAATCACTAAAAATGACGCTTAAATTGATAAACACACACACACACAAACACACACAAACACACACAACACACACGCACACACAACACACACACACATATATATATATATATATATATATATATATATATATATATATATATATATATATATATATATATATATGGCCGACCACATGAAACCATTTGTCTACCGGGCCTCTACTTAAATACGTATATCTACTAAAAATAACGTGTAAAGTGATCAAAACAAACGCACTCACACGCACACACACACGTATGTTCTTTCTGCATTCTGTTAAGGTTACTTCTAGGCTCGATGAACGTCATATGTAAAGATGACTTTTTCAAGGACAAAATGAAATCGAAAGGGTTTTGTTGTCATAGTTATATTAAATATCCAAATTTAAAAATAGAGAGACGCTCCTGCGTAAGCCTCTTTCTGGTTAATGTAAATTTCCCTCATATTGAAACATATTTTTTTTTCCTGGCCGACATTATAGTTAAATTCCCAGAACAATTATGTGGACAAGACAAATTGGTATGACAAAACGCGTCGGCAAAAAAACTACGATTTTTTTCCAGTTGTCATTTGTCAACTCTTCTGTGAATTATACATATACATACATACATATATATATATATATATATATATATATATATATATATATATATATATATATATATATATATATATATATATATATATTTCACAAAACTTATTCCAGGGCTAACCAGCAAATCCTACTGTGGTTTTTATTAAAACGCCCGCTCAACCAACAAAGTCCATATATATATATTTTATATATATATATATATATAATATATATATTTATATTATATATATTCTGCGACATAAAATTAATCGCGTAATCTGGCGTGTTAATTATATTTTTAATGAAAGGCCACCACTAACATACATTTTGTTTGTTCAACAATTAGGGTCCAAATCCTTGGCTACAGAAGTTTTTCGACTTATATACCAACGACACATCAAATCTTTCCGATTTTCCGAACCAGCAATTCTGTCAAATACCCAATTTTCACTCATAAGGCGTGGGTTAAATCATGGTATGGTTTTCAGGCACTTTTCAAAGGTTTCGCACGCTGGAATCGCCTCATAGTCGGAAAGTGAACGTTCTAAGCCACGTGCCAGGGCGGCAATGAAGTCATTATACACTTACTGATAGTAAAAAAGCAAAACATTGAACCAGATGGCTTTCGATTTGGATAATATCGGTAATTAATTTACTATTGTTTACCCCAGCATTTTATTGTTATTAACCAGAATTAATCAGAACCATTTTAATAATAAATTTCTGGATTGTTGAATAATTGCTTTGTCTTAATTGTTATAAATAGCTGTATAGTGACTTTATTGCATCTCTCTCTCTCTCTCTATATATATATATATATATATATATATATATATATATATATATATGTGTATGTATATCTAAACTATATTTATAAAGCGTGTCGTCTTCTGAAAACTAATCTATTTATACCATCAGAGGACGAAATGTCAGATCATTTAAAAATAGATTTCAGAAATGATAAATAATATATATATATATATATATATATATATATATATATATATATATATATATATATATATATATATATATATATATAGATGGAGAGAGAGCGAGAGAGAGGGGGAGAGACAGAGATAATATTACTGTACAATATATATATATATATATATATATATATATGTGTGTGTGTGTGTGTGTGTGTGTTGACTATTCTTTACCAACCCGTGTCGTCTTCTGATGAGCTTTATCATTTGCCTTGATTTATTCCATCAGAGGACGAAATACGTTGGAAAAGAATAGTTTTCATTCTGTCTCAATATGTAGAAGAAACACACACACACACACACACAAACACAAAATATATATATATATATATATATATATATATATATATAACGCGGGTATTGACCACAGTGTCTATTTTTATATTTTTATGTCTACATATTTCCTATCCCTAATATTTAGAACTTTTACCCATAAATATAACGTACCTTAAAACTATATTTTTATCACATATCTGTGTGTGAGTGTTTGTGTGTGTGTGTGCAAGCTGGCTCAATATGTACGCAATAACAGAATAGGAACAGGGATTGTTTGGTAATTATGCAAATGTTTTAAGGTCGGCCATGTTAACAAATGATTTCTTCATTCGTTCTGTTGATATTTTGTCTTTCCTCCGAGATTTCTGTAAATCTTTTTCGGTTTAATTCTATTAACTACTCTTTGAGAAATTAACACTTTTTTTCCAATGTGCAAGCCAAGAATTTAAAATAGAGATTCATCAGAAACTAGACTAACATTGCTGAAAATCATGTATTAACAACAGTCTGTAAATTAAAAATGAAGCCACGAAGCGCTTTTCAAAAAGGAAAATGTTACGTAAATTGCACTATTTGAAACATTATCATTAATTCTTTTGGAATTTTATGAGTTATGTGGCCCTAATTTACGGGGTGATTTAGCAAATGAACCTATGGAAATTTTTCAGGTTTATTCTCTTGTGGTTACTGTTACTTATTGATTTAAAAAAATATATCATATCCCATTAGAACGAAGGCGATCAGAGCTCGCCAAAAACTCGTTATTAATTCAGTTCCACCTCTTTAATCCGGCATCCTTGGGATCAGGTAACTGCCAGCCCATAAAAAATGTTGGATAAAAGAAAATAATATATACTTACTATCTTGTTTGGGTAAATATACAGTTATGCATAAGAAATACTCTCGTGCTGTTAGCTGCTGCGGAAAGCTTTGATTATCGTGTGGTGCTGCCTTCGTGACCGCTTAACGAAATAATGGCGGTTGGCTCAAAATGTATCGGACAGTGAGAGTTGCCGGATCAGAGAGTACCGTATTAAAAAGATCGGACTGTATGTTCATTATCTGTGAATTTCCATGTCACCTTTGCAAATATAGTGGGCTGGATTCTTGTTGCTTTTTCCACAGTTTGGAATTTAGTCATTTTTCTAGACTGGCTAACATTCAAGTGTAGAGCGAACAGTCTACCTTACTATTTAAAAAATGTCGGTCTTAGTACGAGTATTGCTCTTTCCCGCGTCAATAACCACACATTCCGACCGACTGATACCATTCTGAAAGTCACGAGCCTAAACTTTGCTCTAGTCAAGTCCCGCCGACAGTCTTCCCTTGTCATGAGCTTTTCGACAAACCAGTGGAGAAAGTGTGTTGATGATGCAGCGAAAGTCTCTTTTACTTCTTTTTTTCCTGAAAAAAAATAACTTAAGCTTTAAATAAAACCAGCAGACAGCACTCTTAACCTGAAGCTCTGTGTCCGATGAAGGAGACGGAAAACTGTTCATAGATATATCTGTTACAGTGCTTTAAAAAAAAATCACAGTCTGTCATTTGATTGGTGTTATCCACCTTATTGACCTGTCATTCAATCGGCTGAAAAGTGAAGTGTCAACCTGAAGAATGCTGTACACGAGACAGGCCTTGAGTACTGCTGCTGTTGCTTATTTTACGGGACTCTTAGTCTCGTCTCGTTAAAGACCGACTTTGTTTCTTTTCTCACGCACTGATTACTAAAGTCAGTTGACCATTGTTATAAGCGAGTCAGACCAAAACTCAGTGAAGTTCTTATGGAATTTTTCTACTGTTTCTTCTCACATTCTTTCGCTTTTTAGTTCTCCCGACATATATTCTTTTTTTGTTTCCTATTCCCTTGTTTTGTTTGATAACAAATTTATGGCTTCACATTGCTTGTCTACAACATACGTTTTCCTTAGGTGTTTTTTTTTTTAATATTTCTTTTTTTTTTGTTTTTGAATTTTCTTTTCGTTGTTTTTTTTTTTAACTTTGATGAAATTTAAAAAAAAGAAATTATCATTGCTATTTTTGTTGAAATGTTTTTCAATGTCGGTTTTATACATTCATTTTTTTCTCTTTCATTTTCGTTATTTCTGTTTCTCTTTTTTAACCTTCTTTCTTTTATCTATCTATCTATCTATCTATCTATCTATCTATGCATGCATTACATCAGTCGAACTAGCGAGAGAATAACATACATGTGAAAGGAAGTATTGAAAATAAACTAAAACAATTATCTTTTGTATACAGTATCTTTATTAATATCTTTCCGATAAATATGCAAAATATATTGTTCTTTTGTAGTCCTCGAATTGACTATGTTTAAACAAATTCTATCAAAAAACAAAAACAAAAAAACCTGGCGAATATTTATAAAATTACCCTATATAGAGTATTTCCTATTGTATTATTTTTTCATAAAAACATTTGGAGAATAAAATGTGTCTTACTTTTGTCCAAGAAACATCTATTTTTTCCATGACATTTTTTCTTATCGTATAACAATAGCAGATGAAATAAAATTTTGATTCAGACGAGAATTTAACTTATTTTACAATAAATCTATCCACAAGTATTACCGACAATATGTAAATTAATAGCTTTGATGGTAACTTATAAACAGGTTGCATAACGATCCGAAAATTTTAATAGTCTGAGAATATATATATATATATGTGCGTGTGTGTGTGTGTGTGTGTATGTGTGTTTCATCAAATTTACTCCTACTTAAAATTAATCCTAATATATTACGGAAACTACTATTAGCTTGTACCACTGAAGTCCCTTTCTTCGATCATAATAATAATATATATATACAACGTGATGGTATCTAGCCACCCCCCCACGAGGGTTGCATGTGGCACAAGGCCGAGTTTATCGTGGGTTTCCCGAGCCCGTAGGCTCAGCCAAAAAATGCTCGTATAACTCGTATAAACGAGATCGGGTTGGTCATTTCTCCCCGAACGAGATTCTGCCCTTCGGCGGAACCTCGTCCGGGTTCCTTTCTGCTCAGAAGTAGAGAGTTCGACCGTCAAGTCGAGTTGATATACAACGTGATGGTGTCTCCATGGGTTCAGTACTGGGTCTGACATTTAGTAATTTCTACATCTCGAACCTCGAAAATAAGATATTTACAGATTTAAAAAAAAACATCCATTTACTGATGATATTCTCATGTTAGTTAAACATACAGATGGAATACTTCAACTTCAAAAACGGTTCCAAAATAATTCTGTCCTTAACTTCACGTATGAACTCAATACTATTAATAAAATTCCCTTCCTTGACATATTGATAAACACAAATAATAACAAATTTACTATTTAACCATACAAAAAACCTACAAGCATAAATTCATTTACACTTAACTACAAGATCGAATGCCCATATTATTACGAAATAGCAATTATAAAGAATCTAATACATCGTGCAGAAACTAATTCATCCACAAAATAGATTTTTTACAGTGAACTAAAGAATATAAAACAGACACTTATTAATAATAGCTTTCCAAACTATATAGCTGATGAACAAATAAGATGCTTTCTTAGAAATCTCAATACTAAGCAAATAGTACATAATACTGCTTCTAATAATCTCAAACATATTAATCTCCTATATTGTAATCAAATGCATACTAATTATAAACAAGATGAAAATATACTAAAAAATTTAGTAAATACTAATATATCAACAACAGATCCTAGCAAAAAAATTAAGTTAATCATATACTACACTAAATCTAGTATATCCAACTCAGTTATTCGCAATGATTCTTCTCCCCCGGTTAGCGATTTGCAAAAAACCAACATAGTTTAGAAATTTAAGTGCCCTTTGGGAGATTGTATCTCCAACGAATTAAATAATATTTATGTTGGTCACACCACAAACTCGTTTTCACGACGCTTGACTGAAAACTCTAACATTTTTAGGCATTTCAATCAACATGCCTGGCCGCACACACAATTCCGTAAAATCCTCGTCGAAAACACAATTATACTTAAACATGAAAAAATAAACAAAAACTAAAAATTCTTAAAGCTATATACATAAAACTGTTGAAACCAAACCTGAACAAAATAAACTATGACATCTCCAAAAATATCCTTAAATGTCTATTGGTTTATACCAACGGCTTCCCATACTTAATAATTCTCGAATTCACTCTCGCGTGGTCATATGTGACGTCAGGAGCTGCGGTGCGATTTTCGCTTCCAGCGTCTTATATGCACGTGTTTATCGTTGCTTGGAAATAATCCATGTAAACAATCACAGACTATCATCACATTCTTGTCCGTGTATTGCTTAATATACTGTACAGTAATTGTCATCTTTGATAATGGCTTATGTAAGCCGAAAGCTTAGATTGGATTAAATAAAATATGTATCAATATTGTGATTTTCTAGTAGATAATTTTGATTAATTAATTTGATTTTTTTGTTCGAGTCAGTTGGAGTAGTGTATTTCTTTATGATATTTCTATTTGAAGATTTATCTTGTTTGTAGTTTGACATGCATTTGGTTTTTGTAGAAAATATCTTATTT